CAAGCGTCCCGACCAATCAAATTGCTGGATTCACGTCCAAGTGACAGCACTGTGTAGAGGTGTGTTTGATTTAATTCGCCTAACTTTTTTTCATCCGGTATAGTTAAAGCTCTGTTCGGGTCGGATCAGGTTCGGGTGATTTGATCTGAAAATTATAAAATATTTTTTCATTAATAACTTTTATTTTTACTAGAACACTTTGTATTTTGTTTTAAATGAAGTTATTTGGGATGTAATTTGTATATATTCACAAATTTCGTTTAATTTGAATTAATATTGAATGAGAAATAACGATTTTTCGGCTGACCCGAAGTTGGAGCGTTAGATATAGTATCCTTGGTTTTGCATCTATTTTTTTTTGATCAAATGAAGCAATTATTGCAAGTAATATATTCATGATAACAGAATTCTATTTTTTTATAGTTTACAACTAGTACACATTTTTTAATGTTACTTTCAGACATATTTAAGAATTTAGGGATTTATTAATTAATATAATTTGATTTTATTAGATTTTTATGAAGTTATCAAGTTTATACTTCTTTCACAGCTGGATATTGCAAGACTATAAGAAGTTGATTTTAAAACTTTTGGCTTCAGGCGAAAAAATTTTAAGAATCTTGAATTAATTCATTGTTTTATATTATATTTAATCAATCTTTTAATTGTTTTTCTAAAAGGCTAGTATCATTTTTTTGAATGTATTATCATATGTTTTTTAACACTTAATTTAAATAAAAATTCTTCGCTATTATGACTTGCAAAATGGGCATTGTAAAATCAATATCTCGTGTGATATGATTTAAATTTTAAAGGCCGAAATAATCATTGAGAATGGTAACTGCCATAAATACATCAATTATCTGTCCGGATAATTTCATGTGATCATGTGTCTGTCAATTTTTCTTCACCATAGTTAGGGAACTAACGAAAGGTTTCATCATGTCATTCGTCGGAACCATGACGATTGACAAAACCTATGATGAAACCTTATGACCAATCAAAATACATGTAATCGCTTAAATCACAACACATGTAGAAGAAAGATTGCGTTATTCGTAGGGCGAAACCTATGACGAATGACAATTGATGAAACCTGTGACGAAAGTATGTCAGTGATTTACACATGTTTTTAATTAGAAATCTCGTATTTGATTGGCCGAAGGCCATGACGATTAAAATTATTCTTAATTTTAGTCAGCATTATGAAAATTGTATAATTCTAGACCTGATAATTTGATAAAGCTTGACTTAATCTATTGTTTTTTTTTAGTTTGCCAAAGTTACCAAATTTGTCATTTGTCACACGATTCATCATTTGCTATTTACATTTCTAAAGTGTCCGTGGCAAAATTTTCGTTGTCGTCAAGTATAATTAATTAAATTAAGGAGAAACCTCAACAAAACCACTAGGAAATCCAGTAATACTCTAGAGATGTACCATACCGTTTATTATTATAGCATTCAATGCAAAGGCCAATTCCAGTTGTATTGCAAATTTACACCAGATACTCTTCAAGCAAATCCTTCTTGAAATGCATTTAGAGCATAAAAAGTTATAATTGCTTTTTCGTTTCAATTTGTACAATTGACTGTTGCAAGTGAATTTTGTGTGATTAATGTATAGTTTTAAACAATGTAACATTATATTGCAGCTTATGATTCATTACCAATTGTAATTAAGCATTCAAAGATTAATTAAAAAAATTCTTCAATTGTACATTTCTAGTTATTTTAAAAAAAGCTTTTATTAATTTAATTCTTACTAATGAGCTTCGAGTACACTCATCCAACCGGATCATCATAGGTTTTCTTCACATACAGTGGCTTACACATGTAACGCAACACGAAAATTAACTTTCTAGAATTTTTATTCCATGGCTATTAACTATTAGTTTGAATAAAATAAAAGTGTTCATTAAAAACCTTGAAACTCTAACATTTTTTAAAACAATTTGACAACAGATTATTTTGTGAAATAGAGTGATTTAAATCGGAATTTACAATTAGTGAATTCTCACATTGAATAACATTTTTCCAAGACAAATCCTAATTTGAACCACTAATTAAAAATGTTCTACTCTATGAAATCTACCTTTTATCAATTTTCATAAAAAATGAGTTGATATTTAAGATCCTAAAGTCCGAATATATGCTATGAACATGAATTAATGTTCCTAGCATAGATTCGATCCTTCGGGGTCTCAAATCTCGATGAAGTTTGGCAATTTTTATTGGTATATAGGTAGATTTCATAGAATAGCACATTTTTAATTAGTGGTTCAAATTAGGATTTGTCTTGGAAAAAATGTTTTTAAATGTGAGAATTCACTAATTGTAAATTCTGATTTAAATCACTCTATTTCACAAAATAATTTGTTGTCAAATTGTTTTTAAAAAATGTTAGAGGTTTCAAGGTTTTAATGACACTTTTATTTTGTTCAAACTAATAGTCATGGAAATAAAAATTCTAGAAAGTTAATTTTCGTGTTGTGTTACATGTGTGAGCCACTGTATTTAGCGATAGGTGCAGTCTAGTCGCATACAACTTTTAAAGAATAGAACGCAATAATAACGAATTATTTTGAATAAATCTATCTATTTGTTTACAAATTTAAATCAGACTTATTCAAAATAAATCTTTATTAATGAGTTCTATTCTTTAAAGTTAAGAAAATTTGCATGTGCACACCCTATACATTCTTAATGACACGTGTAAGTCGTGTAAGTACTGAAACAGATGTATTTATTTTTACTATAAGGAAAAATTTTGGCTGAAATAATTTTCAAGTAGTTTATTGTAGTCGTTTTTTTCTGTATTTGTAAAAATGATCACTTGTTGGAAAAGCGTATACCGATAGATTCTCTTATGATACTGTCATATTCATTATCCAAAGTTTCTTTATAAGATCAAATAAATACATGCTTATAGCTTTATTACGTCCAAATTGAATAAATAAAAAAAACTTGAAGTTCAACTCCATGTAAGCCATGAAAATGGATTGTATCCTCCAAGGATTTTTGGTTGATTTTTAGAATAAATAACCACCAATAACTAGACAACAAAAGAAAGTCATTTGTATCGATTTTGTCTTGTTTTCTGGTCCGGTGATATGTCAGTCTTTCTACATGCTATAATTTGAATACGGAGCTAATTTGTGATAAAAATCAACTGAATTAACAAGCAGAGTTTAAATCCACTGAGATATAAGCTTGAACGATTCTCCATTGAATAATGATAACGATAAGCTTATCCTAAAAAGGGTAGGCTCAGTAATTTTACGAAACCTTTGAATAAATGCGGCAGTTGGCTCGGTGTTTAAAATTGACCTGCGTGGATAAACGATGATGTGCACAGATTGCGTTATCAATAATTGGCGTTTGGAGAATGATTGGTTAATTAGTTATTGTTATTCATAGAAAAGAAGAAGATCGAAAAAAGTCAATTAATTTATCGCCTTCGTGCTGTTTTTCGATTTATTTTGGCATGATAATAAGTTACGTTGCTGTTCTATCATTTTTTAGTCGAATTTATTATTCTATTGGAAAAAGAGAGTTTAGTATAGTATATTTAATGGCTAACTTATAAATACATACATATACATGTATCATTTTATTTTGAGTATATTATCTCTGTTAAAAATCTTTTACTTTTATATATAATAAACAATTTTTCTCTTATTAGAAAGAACCTTATCTTTCTTATCTGTATATATAGTTGACTTCCTTATAGTAAATTTTCGTTCAATTAGAGAAAATTGACTATATCGAGAGTTTATTAGCAAATTATTATAGGGAGACTTCTTATATTGTAGACGGTTTGAACATAGCGACAGTTTAATTATAACGAACTTTTCTAGAGCTGTTTGCCGGAATTCATTTGATATTATGACAAATGTCGTAATTACTTTTCACATGTTATAATTGCAAGTTAAATGCTTCATCATAAAAAAATCTAAAAAGATCAATTTAATTAGAAATTCAGTATCTTTTATCGCATCTCAATGACAGTACAAATATCTTTGGCGCAATATTAGGTTTCTCAAAAGTAATTAACTGGTTTGATTCTCGTCTAAAGATTGGAAAGTACTGTTTCGAAGCATGATGATTGAGAAAATCACATATTCGGCAATCATTATTGAACATCGTAGCATGACAAGCTTTCAAACGAAAAAGATATGATTTGAATAACAGGTCTTCAGACATTTATTTTACTTTAGGGATAATCAAATGTATACATGTACATGTATTACCGTTACATTACGTTTGATCACTACTATTGATTTGTTAATCTCATCATCGAGCCAAACTAACCGAAGGAGCATTAAGTGAAGTGAGATCAACTCACACACAAAGTAATAACAGTAAACACTAAATAAACTGCCAACTGATACTAATCCTCCCTAAATTTCGATTAGCCAAATTATCAAACATAGCGGGTGACATATCAACATCTCCCGAACTACATTCTGGACATCTATCTCGTACCATCCCTTCAACCGATCGATTATTATAGTAAATTCGAATGTATCTATTGCATAGACGATTACGATTAGGATTTCCATTTGGAGTTTCCGCATCGAAATCTGGCGCAGCCAGAGCTACGATGGCGGAATTGTCGTCGTCGTATTGGCCGCATGCGCCTAAACCAGGGTTGTAGTATGTTCCTTGACCGGTATAGAGTTGACGTTTTTCTAACGATAACGGAAGAGTGTTTACTGTAGCGGACAAAAGAAACGTATGGAGAATGAAGAGAGTGATAATGGTTGGTTTCATTTTTGAATTTTTTGGAATGTTTTGTATGTGAATATATTACAAGTAATCAGTTTCTTTTGAAAAATTGAAGATTCAAAAATATCAAATTTTCGTAATCGTTCAATAATTTCGTGAAAAAAAAGGAATGAAAAAGTTAGTTTAGATACCAAATAATGAGTAGGAAGCTGATGAACTGTCTCTAGAATTGAGCAATCGCTTTAATACTTTTTTTCGTTGATTTTAAGGATTCCTTTTTTTTCTCGTGACTCCTTGATTGCGCAGTAAGCGAGTCAGGGGGTAAATGATAAAAATAGACAATTTTATGTTTTGCTCCTTTTTTGTAATAATGAGGATAAATTTAGATCCCTTCCCTTTTGTCGCATCAAAAAATTCTTTTGAAACTTTAATTTATTTTGCATCAATTATCATGAATGATTCGATTCATGCTTTTCCTTAGGTCTAGATTATAAATAGAAGCTTTTATCTTATCAAGTTATATGCTGTCAGCTTTCCATGTGAGCTCTTAGATTATTATAAATTATCATAAGATTTCGAGAGATTATCGATTGAATAATAAATTTTATTCCAGCTTATCTATATATATTTTGTCGTTTATATATATATATAAAATAACAATCGAATATTTGACCAATTCATACATTGGTTAATATTCGAAGGTTTATAATCAACACTCAAGTTCGCCTATCGTTATATCGATATAGCAAGTCACGAACTTCTCCCAAATTGATCAGTGATTGCTATTCAAGATTCTTTTGAAAGATATGAATAAAATCACGCCGCCGCAGATTAATATTGTTATGAGGGTCAATATTAACAATAGTACTTTTAAATAATCATGTGTTCTTTAAAAGTAGGAGAATGAAGAGTAACGAAGTATATTAAGGAAAATCGATAACAATAAGAGTCATGCACATTAAAAAATTTAAAATATAATTAATAAGATCATAGTACCGGGCCCGGAATAGTATAATTAAAATTAATAATCTTTAAGCGTATACTAATTTTTAATGACCCTTTTCTGAAAATATAAAAAGCAATAGTTTTTGAAGAAGAAGAAATAATCTGTAATTTTCATTGACTCATAGAATTCACGAATTCACTAATTCACTCATTTTTGCATATCCTCGTTAGAAAAATTAGAACGCTGAGCGTATAGATTATTTTCGAGTTGATTAGCAGCAACCTAGAATAAATTCTCGAATTCCTACAACAAACAACCTTAATCGAATTTATATAAATTTCATTTGATGATGAAATCATCACTTTTATACGACCAATTCACTTTTGTAATCCTTTTTTACACATTATTGACATCATCATCAATAACAGCAGTGTCGACCTATAAATGCAATCAGAAGGGTTGTCGGAGGCCGTTACTCCCGAATAATTCATATAACAATCAAAATCTAGATAACTCATCCCCAATTCAAACATTACCTAAACAATCACAATCACTTACAGATCAAACTCAACAAAGTCCTCAAGTAAATCCAAATCTTGATTCTGAAGATGATCTAATTCCTAATCAACAAACCTTTCCAAATGTTGATGTTCCTACTACACCACCATCAAATCCATCGACGTCAAAATATTCCGGCAAAGCCACCTTCTATAATCCAGGACTTGGAGCATGTGGCACGGACGCTAACGATAATTCAATGGTCGTCGCGATTCCCGCCCCTAATTTCGATCCTATGATCCCAAACGGGAATCCTAATAAAAATACACTTTGTGGAAAACGCGTACGAATTTATAGTGGTAATAAATTCGTAGATGGTGTTGTGGTGGATAGATGTCCCGTCTGCAAATTTGGTGACATTGATTTGTCGCCGGCAATGTTCAATCAACTGGCGGAACCTGAGAAAGGTTTTATTTATGTTGAATGGATGTACTTGTAATCCTTTTTATTTATTATCATGTCAATTTTTTACACCGTTGTTTTTACCAATGATAGACTAATTCAATTTTAGCTAATTGTAAAATTGGCTGTGCCAAATAAATTCCGATTCTTTCATAAATTAATCATAAGTCTAAAGAACCTTTAACAAATCATATGTATTTCCCATTCATTAAGTAAATTGATGAAAAAACCTATTCTGAAACCATCTTTTGTATTTCCTCGCAGTAATTGTTTACAATTCCCTCGTAGTAAATTTGTTTACGACTATGACAAAATTCAAAAACACTTAAGCATTAAATTAGAAATGCAGTGACTTGCACTATTCTATTCTCAACTATATAACCTTGATGTTATCTACAGTCAAAACTCGTTATAATGAAATGGTTTTTGAAGCTTTTTTAATATAGCAAGTTTTTCAATACAGCTAATAAATTTTCTTATATTTTGTTTCGAGAATGATAACTTTTTTTGTTAAATATGAATTTTATTATGTATTGCATGACGAGTTTATATCCATCTGAACCAACAGTCATAATTTACTTTCATTTGATCCAAATTATCTTCCTGCAATTCAATTTGATATTTGCACGTGAGATTTGTCTTACAATTTTATGTTTGAGTATTTTCACTCTTTAATAAATTTTTCAAAAGTTGGGGTAGTGACGTTCTTGTATAACATCGAATTTCCTTCTGTCTAATTCTTGGAGCAGTTGAGTGATAAATTTCTCGTGGGACGCGATTTCACAGGTAGAATAGTATAGCCTTCACTATTGAGCACCAAAAAAAAATAATAAGCATGTAGCACTGATTTATTTGTCTTCACAATAGCATACATAATTATAATCTAATTATTTACTTTACCCGTTACCTGATATCTACACAATTTGACTTTTATATAATCACAAACTCTTTAAAGTCACACTTTTTGTGTGATTATATGGAGGTATGACTACGTATACAGAACATGCGAGATTTTTCAGTTTATAATTATGGAAGCCACTGCAGATAAATTCAATACGACGTCAATTTAAACTACGTACGTATAGTGCTACAAAAATATTTATGACTGTGCTTTTACTCATAGAAACACAACATTCGATATTCTATATTATCAGTTATCGTTATATCAGTAATTATGATCTTAAATACATGTATCATATTTTGAATTTATGACGTGTTTTTTTATGATGTCAAAGTACTGTATGCTTGAAAATCATGACATTTTTTCATATAAGGATGTAAACTGCAAAATTATCGAACGATTCTTTTTCTCTTAAAAAAATGTATTCTCCGTTTAGGAATATCTTTTTTAAAACTTCCATTCCTAAATCGACGCTTATTTTTCCACGTAGACAACTGCTTTGCTATACAGCAAGAATTACAAAAACGAACTCGGAATATGAATTCAAAATAGACGACGGGGGTAATTACAATAGTGAAACTTTTAGTCCTTTTGAAAACGAGATTTGGCAATTAAACGCGTGTCTAAATATACATAACACAGTAAATATACATAACATCGTAATTAGTTCAAATAATATAATATAAACTTATCTCTGACGTTCATTAGGGAAGTATTGTATTAAAAAGAGTAACTCTGGGTGAGAAACAAGAGTTTAAACCTGTAACTGTGCGTGCTCATTTCAAGCGTGATTCTCGTCAGTATCGTTATGGAATGATAGAACTAAAGAAGAAAGCAGAGAAATTCTATGATCATACGAACGTATCAGGTATGAAAAACAAAAATCGATTCGACGTTAATACGTACATGTATACGTACGCTAACTATAATTGTTTCACTTCAAAGATGATAGATACAGTAACTTTGTCCTTGGTAAGATCACGCATGTTGGTGTTCAGTGTTTTCCGGATGAAGATAATCCTAGAGATAATGAAGATAATGAAAAGTTGTCGGCTAGGCAACAAATACAAGTCTTCAAACAAATCTTAAGATAATATAAATATAATTCACTATCGCTATAGTAAATTTCGATTTAGTTAATAAAAATGTTATCTTGAGAAGAGTGAAAACTTTGGTAATTAACAGTGCTCGTTTCACACGAAAACATGGTGACTATTACTTTCGCATTTATCAGGTATCGACTGATGTCAAAACTCCGGAAAATACACGAGACTCTTAGCATTAGTAACAAATACATATTGAATTTGAGGACGTCACTCAATCCAATGATATATCTAACAAACCGTTTTGCCAGAGGAAAAATACGAGCGCCTAAATAAGATACTAAAATATTGTCGCAAAATTCTTACATTTCATTCAGAGTAAATAATACTGACAAAATAATACAGATTCGTTACTGTTATAGCGGTTCCGTCCATATATAGGAGGGTCCGCTTGTTTATGTTCAATAAAAATCAATGCACAAAATATTTTTGCGATTACATGTATTTGGTATCTTTTTTGTATGCTATATTACATATTTGTATTTTATAAAAGATTGTATCAACTTATAATTCATGTTCTAAGTCTAATTCATCGGTAGACTTTTAAGCAGCAAGGATTCGTTTGGTAATTATTCGAGCAAAAGCTTAACACCAAAATGTGTGATGTCATCAAGGAAAAAATCATCGTATCTTCCATCTTTTTTCAAGAGGAAATTAACAAGTTTAGAATATTATTTAATAGAAAGTGAAAGTAAATGTCTGTATTCCTACCTGTTAGAGTCGTGTGACTGTAAGGACCCCATAATTGAGGCAATTTTGTTAATTCGAAGTAATAAGTGCCACTAAATTTACGCACCAAATATGCGCTGACTGTTACTCGTTGAAATTCTTCCACAAGAAAATGGGTTTTAGCCCTGTATAATTCAATATTGCTCTATTGAAAAAAGAATTAATTTCTATTTTTACATTAGGCACATGCATGTATAACTTACTTTGGAGGATGCTGCCTTTAATTGCCAAATTTCTTTTTGGTTCCAAGGCTCATTTTGGAAAGGTCTAAACGGTTCACTCCAAATGCTCGATACTGATTTTCCATCGGAATTAAGCATTGGGAATTCAAACTTTAAAGGATCAACGCTTATATTTTCTGCAAAGCTATGCATAAATTTATTACGAGAAAAGAGAAAACTTGGGTTTGGAATGTACCTTTTCATCAACATATTCTTAAATGGTGAATACATTTTTTGTGAATTATTTTTCTTTCCCCGGCACCATAAATTGGAAAAATTGATCGACTCGATTGATTATGGCGTTAAATGATATAATGATGATTACATGACAATCTATCAGGAACACATTATCGTTATCTGTTACCGCATAAGCACGGCACGTAATAACGCCCATGAGCCTCATTTCGAAATTCGCACTTTTTTAAAAACTGCATATTTGAGTCAAAATAACGCTCATGAGTCCCGAAATAACGCGTACTTAGATATAAAACATAAATTTAAATGATTCGAATGGTAAACGCGCGCGAATATGGATCATCAAAACGAATCTACATTTTCACTATAACGATAACGATAATTTACAATACAATAACCAAGTAAATATCGTTATTACTTCACCTCATTATTACTATCATAACTAACTTCCCAGTCTATTCTATTTTTAGTATGAATCAAATTAACGGAAACAAAAGGAAGATCATCCCGGGCACGATCACTAGGCAAGTCGCATAGAGAGCACATGTTTTATGTCACGTTTTCTAGGTGTAACAATTATTATATATACAATAAAGTGTTAAAAAATATCTTTTTTAGCGGTTGTGATGCTAATATTTTTTTATTGTATTTATAGAGACGAGTTGGTGAAAACAGAAAAAGGTTAGTATAACAATAAGTAAAGATTTATGATAACGATAAGCGAAAATGAATTATGTTTAATACCATAAGATAATTTATATTTACATGTATTTTTTTACACTAGTATACATCATAATTATTATTTGAACTACCAATCCTGATATATCAATCAAATTCACCATCATATGTAATTATTACAATATATACATTTCTCGAAATATCGCACATGGGCGTCCCGTAATAACGCATAGGAGCTCGAAATAACGCGCTTATTCGGTCGGTATATCATTGATAGAAAGATAAACAAACATAAAATCAGCTCTATCTCTAAATCTTTATGTTATTTGACATCGACTATGAACCTTTAGAATTTGAATTTGCGTAGCTTTGCGGTTGTTCGTATAATAAAGTAAGAATTTAAATCAGTGCTTACCGTTACTTCAAGCGAAAACATGGTGATTGTAATGTTTACAGTTAGAAGAAATGTATTAATTAACAGTTAAACATAAAACAAAAAATCTACGAATTTTCATATTTGTATTTTTGAAAAGCTTCAAAGCATATTTTAGGAATTCAATTCATAAATCGATTTTGGCTTAATCTGTAATTAGTGATGCTAAAATCCTCGGCCCGCCCGCATTTCACGTGAATGTTGATCATATTTCGTAGATATGATTGGTTCATTCAATTACTATCAGTGTCGATCGGCCCTACATAAGCCCCCAAGCAATCAAAATTCAAAAGCTCATATCCTTCACGAAAAGATTTATCAGAGTATTAGTTTTCGATTCAGAAGAATTTTGATTTATAAGTTGTAATACTATTGTAATTCGGCACCATTTTATCAACATTTCTTCTTTGCCGAGCAATTACTACTAACGATATAAGAGTTTGGGTATTTTTGATCAAATTTTGAAAATTTATTGTGTTGATTCAATTTATGCTAACACTTGACCCATTTATGTATTAGCTGTTCTTTAAAATTATACTCGTTATTACGGATAGATACTCATAAAGATAGAAAAGACTAGCACAAAAAGTAATGTTTTACCATGTACATTGAGCGCTCGTTACAGTAACACTCTTTAAGGTAACATCTCGTTATACTAACACAAAATTTCTTCCCCTGATCTCAGCTTTCATAGTATTTAATTTTTTGATAAAGTAACATCTCGACATAATAACACCAAATCTCTTCCCCGATCACGTTATTGTATCGAGTGCCCACTGTAATTGACCTATAAAAAATGTATTGTTTTTGACCTGGAAAATTTCTGATTTTTGAGTCGAAAATTTCCAGTTTTTTGTTTGTTTTTTAATATTCAACTCAGATACAGAAATTCAATGGTTTTGTTGAGGACTGTGACAGATATTATATAATATTCTTAGAAGGGGAGGGGATCTAACTGTATCTTATATTATATGTAATATATAAAGTCACATGCTTCAAATATCTTACCTGGGGAGAGGGTAATGGGCTCTATAGTAAAATTATATATGTCACAGCCCAAATAAATTTCTGGAAAAAATTCATTACTTTTTGAAATATAATCTGATATTTTATAAAAAAAATTCATCCAAATTTCACTTATATTTCAACTTATAGAAATATAAGTGAAATTTGAATTGATCTTTTTTTTATTTAATTAAAATATAAGTAAAATTTGGATGGATCTTTTTTTGAATATAAAAGTATATTTATTATTATATAATTATAAATTTTATAATATATCTAAATGTTTATATATGTATATCTAAATATTTTATATTTTTTTATCTTTATTTAAATACTCTTATAGTTATAGAATCGTAATGGTGAAATATCATAATTAATAATAATGAAATATTAGAATTAATAATAAAAGAATATTAGAATTAATGATTGAAAAATATTGGAATTAGCAATAAATAAATATTAGAATTAATAATAAAATACAAATTTTATATTAAGACTAATTAAATAATAATTGATAATATAAAATTTAAATTATAAATTATATTGTAAATAAAGTTATAAAAATAAAATAAAGTTATAAATAAGCTATAAAAAGAAAATAAAATTATAAATTATATCTATTAGAATTATATTAAAAAAGAATAAAAAAATAATTATTAAAAAATTAATAATATTTATTATATATAATAAATACTATGTGTTCTTGAAAATTATAATTAAAAATTTGTTATAATTTAAATAAAAGAGAAATTATAATAAAGTAATAATATTTTGATAATTAATCTTCAAAATTATATAAAAATATTATTGTTTAATTTATTTAGATGTAATAAATTAAATAATCTGATTTTAATTATTAATTATTAAAATATTATATATTTTTTTTACTTTATAAAAATATCTTTTTACTTTTTAAAAATTAGTAGTATATAAAATAATTATTTTTTCTTTTATTATTTGTTATATTATTATGATTTTTATTATATTATATGAAATTAAATTGGTTTTTTAGCTATAATAAATATATTAATATTTATATTATCTATAAAAAATTTTTTTAATAATAATTTTAACTTTATTATAATATTTTTTTAACTTATATTAATAATTATTTTTAAATTTTTAATAAATACTAATAATTTATTAATTATTTTTTTAAATTTGATTAATATTTATAATATTTTTAAAGCAAAATATAATTTTATTTAAAAAAATACATTTTTTAAAATATATAATTAATAAAAAAGATAATATTTTTAACTTATTTTAAAGCAAAGTATAATTTTTAAAATATATAATTAATAAAAAAAAATTTTTTAATTTATTAACTATATAAAGAATTATTAACTTCTTAACTATAAATAATAAAATAACTTTAATTTTATTTTGAATAACTAAATATTATTACTGTTTTGATGAGGCTTTCAAAATACTCAAAGGTATTTATAAAATTTAAGAAATATTCAAAGGGAAACTTTCAATGTCTTAACAACAATTCAAAATATTAATAATACTTTATGACTATTAGACTGAATGTGAATAAGTACTAAAAGTACTAGTGACAAAATCACTTAAAAATTGGTAATAGTTGTATTTTTTTAATGCAATAACTGAACTGCTAAAAAGAGTTCTCAAAATCTCAATGTTAAATATAATATACATATTAAAACATCTTTAAATCTTTAAAAATATGATATTTGTATTATTAGCAATATAAATCGAAAATAATTGTATAAATAATATATTATTAGCAATACAAAGTCAAAGATAAGTTTATGAACAATATATTATTAGCAATACAATCTTAAAGACAGATTTATGAATTATAATAATAATTCCTTTATTTAATATAATGTTCAATAGACTTCGTCACAACGTGTTCA